CAGACAATATATCAAATGTACGAAATGGATTTTTTTCCCTGTTAAAGTTAATAAAAGTTTCCTCCTTTATCACTTGCCGAATTACCGGTGTGGCCGATGCGTGTGTGGTGTGGTGTGTGTTGTGGATTGTGTGGAGAGAAGAGGGAGAGAGAGAAGAGAGAGAGAGGAGAGAGAGAGAGAGAGAGAGAGAGAGAGAGAGAGAGAGAGAGAGAGAGAGAGAGAGAGAGAGAGGAGAGAGAGGGAGGAGAGGAGAGGAGAGAGAGAGAGAGAGAGAGAGAGAGAGAGAGGAGAAGAGAGAGAGAGAGAGAGAGAGAGAGAGAGAGAGAGAGAGATAAGATAAAGAAATAGAGAAGAGAAACAGAGAGAATGTGTGTGTGAGAGAGAGTGAGAGAGAGAGAGGTAGTCTGTTTGTGTACGTGTGTATCACTGCTAACGTGAGTGTGTGTGTGTGTGTGTGTGTGTGTTGTGTGTGTGTGTGTGTGTGTGTGTGTGTGTGTGGTGTGTGTGTGTGTGTGTGTGTGTGTGTGTGTGTGTGTCTATGTGACATGTGTGTGTGTGTGTGTGTTTGTGTCTATGTTTGAACGTGTGTGTGCACCCTATGATGAAATCGAACTATAAATGGATCTTCATTAAATGGAAACGGATATAGAAGTGATATCATCAAGAAGGTTCACGAATGCTCATCACTTTTCCGTTTTCCTCCAATTTTTCTAATAATGGATCTTCCCTCTGTCGACCACTGCACCCCCAACCCATCCTCTCCTCCTACCCCACACCTATACCTTCCCCTAGCCCACACTCTCTCCTAACCCCACCTCTCCCCCAAACTCGCCACCACACACCTCTTCACCCTTTTTCCCTACCCCCGACCTACACTCATCCCCTACCCCCACCTTCTCTCCTTACCCCCCATACCCTCCCCTACTCCCACCCCCTACCCCCACCTTCACCCCTTACCCCACACCTACCACCCTCCCCTCCACCCCCTACCCTACCTCCTCCTTCCCCATACCTTACCCCTACTCCGCCCTACACATCCACCCTACACCCAGCTCCCCCCCTCACCCCCCACCCCCCACCCCCACCCCACCCCCGACCCCCCACCCCACCTTACCACCCGCTGTCGAACACCCAACTAACCTTCTCTCTCCCCTTCAGGTTCCCGCGATTTCCCCCCGGGGCGTGTCCATGCCTCCCCGGGCGGTGTTAGTGGTCCTGAACGCGGCCAGAGAGGAAAGTGGCCAGGGACGGCGGTGGACCTCGGACCTCGCATGGCCTCCTGGACGTCCTAAAGGAGGCCAAGTCGGTCTTCGCACTCAACAATGGCCCTTATCGACAAATCCCTTTTCCTTCAAGTATGTGTTGGTGGTGGTCCTTTCTCTTTCTCTATTTCTCTCTGTCTGTCTATCTGTTTATTTGTTTGTCTTTATTTATTCTATTTATCTATCTTTTATCTCTATCTAATCTATCTATCGATCTATTTATATCTTTTGTCTATCTAGCCATCTATACATTTTTTCTCTCTTCTCTCTCTCATCTCCCCCTATCTATCTATATATCTATATATATCTATATATATCTAATATATGCTATCTCTATCTATCCTATATCTATATCTTTCTTTCTCTTCCTTAATTATTATCATTATCAATTATATTATCGTTTTATCATTATTATTACATTATTATCATTATCATTATTATCATTATTCTCATTATTATCAATTATCATTAATTATTATTATCATATCATCATATCATTATCATTATCCATTTATCATTGTCATTATTTTATCAGATAATAAACTGAATCACTTTAAAAATCATCATCATCATCATCATTTCATCAACGATTTTGCCGTAGATATTTACTCCGCCTTATCTAGTTATCTCAAATCTTCCCTGCTACCATCAACAGAATCTTATTTCTATAACAAATGAAATGATAATTCAGAGTATGTGGTAATTCAGCCTCATCTATAATAACAAAGAAACATATACAATCATTAGTATAATGCTCTGTGCTGTGTTATTTGCGTCGGTAGGCATATGCAGATTATTCAGTCAGAAGTAATGATATTACTTTCCATTACTTTCCGACTAAGTGTTTTTTTATGTTTCCGTGTCCTCATGGGAGGTTTGGATCCCATAATTATCATCCTTTTCTCTCTATTAATATAACGACTAGCGAGCAGGGGTGCGATTTGTCTCTTGAAACTCAGGGATTTTTTTAGGTCGAGTAAGTGAAATGTGGGTTTTAATTCCGTAGATTTTTTGCACCGAGGGAGAAAAAAAAACTCGACACGCGGTAATCTTCCCTTCGTCCTTATAGTTTCTCTTCCGGTTCTCTCGTTCTCTTAAGTAGGTCTGTCTCGTTCCTTACACACCCAGTCACTCATTCCACCTAATGGCGCTAACCCCGTGGGAATGAGGTAATGGATGTAGGTTTATCTCTGACGCCCATTTCTTTCGTGATTGCGTGACATCTCATTTGTTCTGCG